TTCTTTGTTTATTTCATACTCATTTAATTATATAAAGAAAAAAATTTAAATTTTATTTAAATAATTTAAATTTATTGTACTTTTTATGGTATAATATAAAAATCTAATTAATCACTTTTTTCTTCTAATTCAGTTTCTTCTTCTGATTCACTTCCTGTTTCCCATTCAACTAATTTATAACCTTTAGTTATACTTTCTTCTGATTCACTTTCTTCTGAATCACTATTTTCATTTACTCTTTCTTCTTGTCGCCAATCTCCATCTGCACATTCTTCTAGTTCCGATTCATCTTCTTCTTCTTCTTCTTTTTTTCTTCTTTATCTTCTTCTTTTTCTTCTCGTCCTGGTTTTATATTTTCTAGTTGTCTTGATTCTTTTAGTATTCTTACTTCTTCTGCTTGTCTTCCCTCTTCTTCTAATCGTCTTACTTCTTTTACTTGTCTTGCATAGAGTTAGGACTATTGTAATTGTAATAAACAATAACAGTAACAATAATTATTGTTATTGTGTTAACTTAATTTAGAAACAATAACAATACTTGTAATTTACGACTATTGTAATTCTGTAATACAATAACAATAAATATTGCATTGCAATTCATCTTTATAAAACAATAACAATACCTGAAAAAAAAAAGTATTGTAAGGACCCACTTCAATAACAATAAATATTGTGTTGTAATTCGTCTTTGTAATACAATAACAATATATTTTTAATGTAATAAAAAAATTATTTTATTGTCAAAATTAAATAAATGTTTTAATAGTCCAGTTGCCGACTATATACCCTTGTACCCTTGAAATAGGGTACAAATAATATTTAATGATTGATAGGCAACTTTAAATATTGAAAATCAAAGTTAACGGAATCAAAAAAAAAAAAAACACCATTTTTCTGCAAATAAAAGGGATTCGGCAGACTTAAAACAGCGATTCAACATAAAAAACGTCCTGAGAAAGGTAATATAAATAATGAAAATGAAGTGAATAATTTTCTTTAAGTTGCAAAATTACAGAATATTTTACAATAATAAACTACAGAATGCTCATCAAATTGCCCACAAATGCAAAGTCCAGTTACTTTTGCTTTCGGCGCGTATAAACATTTCCAGTTGACACGGAACATGAAAAAGACACCTTTTAAACGTCTTATGAACAATTTGGACGTCTTTTCAACATTCAAAAGACGTCTTCTTTAGGTCCCGTGCCTACTGGGTTAACGCAATGAAAACTCGCTTTATTAAACAGTCGATGCATTGTTTTGATGCTTGACTCTTACTTGCTATTTTTTTCAGATGAAAATTTAAAGAATCAAAAAAATCACTTATGTCTTTAGAAAACAAAAGTAAAATTAGTTCTTCCACGATCATACGTAATACTCTAATACTGTGTGGAAACGTCTTTCCAGCCAACATAGTTCCAACACCAATAATCGCAATTTTCAATACACCTTCCAGAACATGACATTAATGCACAAACACAATCAACAATTGCTAGATTTTTTCAACTGTTTTAGCTACTAACTTTTCCTGAAGAAGTGAGAACCACCATAGCATTACCAACGTAGTCAAAAAGATCAAAAATTAAATTTCTGCGGCCCTTTGTACCACTATGGCTCATGTATGTAGCATACAACTCTAAAGAATTCCACATATGAGACCACGATTACTGTTCAAAGTAGAGATAACAACAGTAAAATCTTTATCCTCTTTAATTAAAACACTAACAACCTCTTTGTTCTGTGCACTTTTAACATTTCGAGCGGTCATAAAGTTTGTGTAGCATGTAGAGTAGCGCTTGCTATCTTCGAATGTTTTAATCTGCAAACAAATAAATTAAAAACTACTCTCTTTTTATTTGGTATGAATTAATTATCAAAAGAACATTTGCGAACGTATGCCTTACGTAATAGTACCAATAAAATACCACAATGAGCGGAAACTAAAAACCTTATTGCTACGAAATTATCCTGAATAAGCAATTTAAAAATCGGGAAATTTCTAATAAAACTATTTATAAGTAAAGTCTTGTATTATAAAAAGAGTATACCAAAACTTCTATAGAATTTCATTATTTATATTAGTTGTAATTTATATAATATATTATTAAATAAAATCTTCTTGGTTCATTCTCGGGTGCAACCGATTTTACCCGATTCGAAAAATATTTTATGTTGAATTACACAATAAACGTTTAATTAACTAAAATTTTAGACTTTGATAAGTCTAAAATTATATTTTAACTTTAACTTTAGACAGTCTTTCCAGCCGACTAGTAGAAATTAGGTTTTTTTATGTTTTATAGTCATGGTTTTTTATCACGTAATAAATGATTCTTCCGCGGAAGAATTGACGCGGAATTCTGTGTCAAGACAATATTAAAGCGTGTCAATATTAAAGCGTGACAAGTTAAACTTTCTGATTTGCATAAGCGAAAAGAAAATTTCAATTTTTGAAAGATTTATAATCAAATGCAGTAAAAAGGTAAATTTTAGGATTCATTTTTTTTTTAGCTTGTGAAGGAAATGTTTCTTCACAGTATTAAGCCTGAAGTCTTAAATTTCAAAAGCGCAAATTTTAAGAGAGTACTTAAAGTTTGTGGTTTTTTCACAAAAATTGTGTGGCTCAATTTTTTTCAAAAAAAAAAGTAGTGTCACACAGTTTTTGCAATTACAAACTCTAAGTTTGTAAACATAAAAATGTAAAAACCAGCAAAAAAATGTTTACAATTTAAATTTATTTTCACTCTTAGATTTTGCATCTATTATCGGACTCATTTTTTGCCTTACGATCAAAGGTTGAATCACAAAATGGCAGGTATAGTTTTTTTGTTTATTTTTTTCCCCTTTTTTTTTTGAATAAATATGATTTATAACCCAGAGTAATTATTTTAAATAGGCTCCAAGCAGTAATTAAAATTGTTTTGTTCATCTTTAAGTTATATTATAAAATTGTAAAATGGGGATCCTAAAGTAGACTAAGTAATACTTGCTATTAATTTGGTATTGTTACTTTTTGAACTTGCAAAGTTTTTCTTTTAAATTTGCAGAAACTAGACTCCCACCTGGTCGCAAAAGGCAAAAACTCTGGTGGAATAACTTTGAAGATATTGAACCGACTTCAAAAAATGTTCTACAAGTCAAATGCAAGTTATGTCCAGATGTCGTCTCTAACAGAATTGCTAGACCAAATGCTTCTGCAACTGGCATGAAGTTACACCTCAAGCGCAAACACAAAACTGTGTATAATGAAGTTTTGCGGCAGGAGGAAGACTTGAAGTCTCAACAAGCCATTTCTGGGTAAAAACTTGAGTTTTTGATATCAATAGGAGGTAACCATTTTTAAATACTTAATAATTCTGAAAACTTGCAAAACTGCGTTTAGGAGTTGAAGCTTTTATGATAAAAGCAATTAAAAATATTTCTAGGAACTGGAGCTGGTAGTTACTTTCAACTGCGCGGGAAATTCAAAAAGCCAACACATTTTCTAAAGCTGAAGTTGTAAGATCCTATGCAATTAAGATATGACTATGAAGTGTGTCTAGGCCTTGCAAACTCAAGTGTTTCATTTCTTTTTATGGAACTCCCATCGATTCAACAAATGTTTCAAGCAATTTGTGCACAGGTATATTAGAGTTCTATTCCGATATTTATGCTAACAACTACCCAAGTAAAGTAAGCTTCAGATGCAAGGTGAATGGTATTTGTTATGTTATATGTTGAATGGTATTTGTTACATCAGTAAAAAATATTTTATTTTATTTTTTTGACTTCTTTTAAGTAAATTATAATTAACTAAAAAATTGGAAGACTTTACTGTATTAGTAGATTTTCTGTCAAATTCCAATTAAAAAAAGTTGTTTGGCTATTTTCAATGTTGATAATTTGATGGAAACTATAGTTATAGTAGGATATATAGATTTTGGTATTCACAATGTAGTGGCATAGCGAGGGTCATTTGCGCCCGTGTCCAAATTAGCAAAAAAGGACCTTTTTATAACAAAAAATAAATTTTTTTCAGAAAAAAGCTTTTTATAAAAAGACGTGCATTTTTTTGGCGCCTCTTTAATCGTATGCGCTCTGAGGAAAAGGCCCGTTACCCCCGTTTCGCTATGCTACTGCACCAATGTGCCTCTATCATTTTTGTGTTTAATTATTTTTACAATGTTATTTTTATTATTCTTCTAGTTTAACACAAGATTTACAAAGTCAATCGCCCAATGGTTGTGAAATCTTTCTTACTCATGATGCTGCTGCCGCCAATGTGAAGGCTTTTTCAAAAAACTCATCATCAGTCTTATTAGTTTCCTGTGTCAACCATCGGTTAAATCTGTTCTGCTTAGCTGGACTTAAAGCCAGTCCTTGGTTCAAAAAAGCAAAAGTGTTTTCCTCTTTGCTTCGAAACTCACCCAAGATTGCAGGCCAAATGGAGGCCACTGCAGCGCACTTGAAACAAAAAAATTTGTTTAAAAGGCCACTCCATAAAAATCAAAGCTTTATCAAGACACGCTGGAATAATATGTTTTTTTGCTTAAAGTCAATTTTAGATGCGAAGCCTATTCTTCTGTACATACAAGGAAAAGGAAAGAAAAATGAATTCCCTGACAAGCAGAATACCTGGTGGAGAGAAATTCCTGATGAACCCATTTTTGAAATCTGGCAGAAAGTTTTGCCCTTGATGAAATGTCTTAATGACGCAATCAACACCTTGTCTGTTGAAGACAAGCCATCAATTTATGAAGTCATTCCCGATGTGTTCAACTTGCGCAAAATCTTCTCTGACAGCATGACAGAGGAAAACACAGAAAATGTGAAGAACTAATGTGCAGCTGTTTTGTCCAAGCTTGAAGAAAAGTTTGAAAATCATGGCTGCGATGAGAAAGCTTTTGCTGAAGCTAACTTTTTAGATCCACGTTACCGTGGTTTGGCTCTACGTCGATTCTCCCTGGCATTATTCGAAAAGGTCAAACGAGAAATTATTAATGAACATTCTTCCTACGAAGAATGGACCTCTGCAACACGTCTAGAGGTTTTTGAGGAGTTTTCCCCTCAAAACAATCCCCTTCATGAAGCCTGCAGAGGCGAAGAAAAAAAGCAACAGACCCAATGGTTGGAGCTGAAGAGAAACCTCTTATTTTAATGAAGTGGGAAACTTTTTTAAAAGTCAAAGTGCCAAAAGATACTGATGTCCTTTGATGGTGGAAGCAAAATGAATTTCGATTTCCACTTTTGTCTACATCTGCTCGTGCTGTGCTCTCCGTCCTAGCATCTTCTGCAGCATCAGAACGAGTTTTCTCAGAAAAATGTAAGGAAATATTGTAACTCCACTACGAAGTCGTTTGGACCCAACTAATGTGGCTCGTCTGGTGTATATACATCACAACAGCAGCAAAGTCATAATTCAGTGGGATTTACAACTTGAATTAGGTTAACGCAGTTTGTTAGAGGGTTTGTTGCTTGCTGTAACAAATTTATATTTTTAATTCTTTTAATTTGATTTTTGATTTTACTTTAATTTTAAAATATTTAAATTAAAAAAATTTAATTAAAAATTAAAAAAAAAATTATAAAACTATCAAAAGGTTTATTTTAAAAGTTAGATTTTATTTTTCATGCAAATTTTTAATTTAACTGACTACAACTGTTAGGAAATATCCTATTATATTTTGATACAAAGCATCAAGAAGAGTAAAAATGCTGAAACAATGTTATTCAGGTCAACTTGAAGGTCCATCTAAGTCTGATCAGCATCAAAGAGCAGCCAGCTCTGGAGATTTAGACGCTTCAATGAACAGTTCCATGTTTGCTGCCTCCTCTAGCAGAACCTCAACTCCAGTTAAGCGCAATTCATCTCATAGCCAATTTGAAGAAATTGATTCAGAAGATGATAAAGATCAACTTAATCAGGTCTCCAGTGGTTCAAGTCAGAGTTTTGATGATAATGATGATTACACATCACCCTGAATTCAAACAAAGGCAATTTTAAGGTGTAGGTATTTATTCGTTGGAAATATTTAAATATCTAATAGTGTTATCCTTATACCAAAATCTTATAAACACAACTCATTCCAGTATAACTTTTAGCAATTAAAATCTTTGTAAGAAAAAGTATGAGAAACTTGGAAAAAAAATGAGTATAAAGATATTGTTAAAAATAGTACGGTTAACATTTTGTTTTATTTTCAGACCTTAAACGCATGAAAAATCTCCGTTAGGCTTTTCGTCTCGTCATCATTAATTTTTTTATGTTGGTTCTTCAACTTTTCAAGACATTAACTTTTTTATTTAAGAAGAATTATTATGTTTAACTGTTTGTGTTACTAAAGTTAATTTTCATATATATATTTTAAGTTCCTTTGCAGCATTAAAATCAAGAGGAAAAAATAAAAGGGCTGAATAAAATAATTTTTGAATGTTATTTTTCATAAAAGTAAGACTATTATCAGACAGGCAATATTTTGCGACCATTTAGAGCTTAGAAATACATAACAAGATAGGTGATGCGAAATCTAAATATGTAAAAAATAAAATTTGCAATATATTGCAAATCCGTAAATAAAAAATAGCAAAAATAATAGTAAGTGCGTCAGAGATGAATATAAATACGTTAAAATACGTTAGCTTTTCTACTTTAATGTAAAGTAATACACTACAGTAGTTATTGTAATTGTTTTTATCAAAGCAATACAATAATTATTGTAATTTTATTTCATTAAAACAATACAATAGTTCTCGAATTTTATTGTGTTGTTAAAAAATAAAAAAGAATTATTATTTTTTTAAATATTTTTATTAAATCTCTTCTGCTATATACTTTGATTAATTTATGGTATGCCATTTTTTATTATGTAAAGAAGTTTATTTAACTCATTTAAAACAAAAAAAATTTTGTAAATTTTTTTTGTATTTTTTCAATTTTTTTCTTTATATATTTCATAATTTAAAAAATAAATTAAATTTGGATATTTGTTTTTAAATCTAATATACAAATTTGATTTTATTACTGTCTTATTAAAATTGCAGCGTTCTATCAGATATTACAACAGCTAATACTTGAGTACCTACTGGAACGATTTGATTAAATGCTGCTTTAATTTGTACATCTAATACTGTTGATTTTATTAATTTAACATGAGGCATATACAGTGATATTTTATTAAGATTAACTTTTCCTGCAGCTGCAGCAGCATTTCTAAAAATTGCATCATTATCACTTTTTCTAATAAGAGTTAGTGTATGCTTAAATCAATAAATAACTTTATTGTAATCTTCACAGAATCCTAAAATGTATCTTGGAGGAACACAAAATGAAAATGTTTCTTTTGAATCTGGTTTCTGAATTAAGTATACTTGTCACACTCAAAATCCTGTGTTATCAGCAAGTACTGCTGTTCTAGCAGAATCTATATACTACAATTGATTTAATCATTGTGCTAATTGAAAGTCGTTAGGGTATTTAAGCATTCCTAACATCGTAGATGCTTTACTTGGATAATGAACTGTTTTCACATTTGGTTCTGATAATTTATATGATATTTCACTAAATAAGTACATAAGACTATTGTTTGTAAGTGAAACTGCACCTGCATTAGCATAAGCTGTTCCATCAGCTTTAAGAAGTTTTCCTTCAAACAGGAGAAAAGCCTCAGTGTAAACGTAAATTGTTGTTGAATATCAATTCTTATTTATAGAGATTCGTTTATATTTGTATTGGTCTTTCAAGGAGTTTAGAAAATATAGGAAGAATTGAGATTGGTCTATAATTGCTAATTGCAGATGTATCTCCACCTTTAAATATAGGTATAATTTTTGCTATTTTTAATTTGTCTGAGACAATTCCGTTTTTGATTGAAGAGCTGAAGATATTAAAAAAAGGCTTTCTTATTACAGAAAAAAAATAAAGCACAACATTGCCCAACATTCTTTTTAATTGATTTGATTGCTGTTTCTAGTTCATCAAAAGTTTAATTACTATCTGGCAAGGAGCTTTCAAAATCGCTAAAATAATTTTGAAACGATGTTTCTGAGCCTTTTATTTTTGATGCCAGGTTTAGACCAGTGTTTACAAAAAAATAATTAAATATTTCTGATATATTTTTTTTGCTTTTGTATTCAATATCGTTTTCCGTTATTCTGGAGGGTAAAATGTCAGATGCTATTTTATTTTTACCTATGATTTCTTTCATAACTTCCCACGTTTTCTTAATGTTACCATTATTATTTTTTAATTGTTGAGAACAATGTCTTTTTTTAGATATATTTTTTGTTTTTTCAAACAGATTTTTATATTTTTTATAGGCATTAAGTTTAGCTTCGTTTCTGTTTTTTAAATATTTGATGTATAATTTTTGCTTTTATTTTGAAGATTTTCTTATTCCGCGTGTAATTCAAGGACATTTTAAATATTTTGTTTTGACTTCTATTTTTTGTATTGGAAAATGTTTGTTATTATATTCAAGAAAGATGTCGAGAAATAGATTATAAGCGGAATTTGTGTCCAAGGTTACATTCTTGGTACACATTTATCCAATTTATAGTTAATAAAGATTCTTTAAGTTTAAGCATAGAATGTTCATTCATTTTTCGTTTCAAGACTTTGATTTTAGAATTATCATTTATGGTTGCATGTTCAGCAAAAGAAAAGAAAATAGGAAAATGATCCGAAATATCAGTTTTAATTATTCCTGTTTTAATAGACTTATCTAGAAAAGAGTAAGTTAGAATATTATCTATAGTACTAATAAAAGTTGTTGTAACACGAGTTGGTTTGTTAGTGATTGGGATTATGCCGTGTTGAAATATATTGTCAAAAAAGATTTTAGTATTAGGGTGTTCATTGTACTTTAAACTATCTATGTTGATGTCACCGATGCAGAATAATCTTTTTTGTTCATTATTGCTTTTGATTAATATTTGTTGCATATAATTTGAAAACTGAATAACATCGCCGTCGGGTGGTCTGTAACAAGTAGAAACTACAATGTTTTTTGTATTTTTAATTATTATCTCAATTGTTAGAACCTCACTGTCTAAATTAGAGATCGAGAGGTCTTTTCTAATTTTGATATCGTGATCATTAGAATTGTAAACTAAAATTCCGCCTCCCCTTTTGAGCGTTTTTCTCTCAGATGAAATTATTTGCACTAACTCAACTATATTACTCTTTCATACACTGTCATATTAATTATGCTAATATTGCATGGGGTAGTACCCGTAAAAGTAAATTAAAGCCATTTTATTGTCAGTAGAAGCATGTTGCACGTATTATAAATTTCAAAAATCGTTTTACTCACTCAAGGTCACTTTTATTTAACATGAATGTTTTTAATATATATCAAGTAAATGTTTATAATGTTCTTTGTTTTATGTTTAAATGTAAAACCAACTCTTCTCCAGCTTCATTTTTTGATTTATATTCTTTAAAAGAAAAAAACAAATATTCTTTAAGAAATGATAATTTTATTAAACAACCAAAATTTCAAACAAACTTTGGTAAATTTTGCATTTCTTTTCGTGGAGCTTTTTTATGGAACCAAATAATTTTAAAAAATTTTGATTTTTCTCATGAATGGAGTTATTATATGTTCAAACGAAAACTAAAAAAAGTAATATTCTCAATTGAAAATATATTTATATACTTTTAATTTTACCCAGTTTTGTCAACACTCATTTATATTTTACTTTTATACAATATTGATTTAAAGTTTATGTCAGAAACTGTAGTTAAACATCATTATTTGAATTTTGTTAAAAGTTCCACTGACATTATTTGTACAGTAGGCATTTATTATTTACTTGTTTACTTTAATTTTTATTTTATTTCGTAATTTTGTAAATAATTTGTATTACGAACGGTATATACTTTTAATATTGAATTTAATTTTGTAATGAAAAAAAAATATATATATATTATTAATAAAAAAAACAAAAAAAAAAAAAAATACAAAAAAAAAAAAAAAATACAAAAAAAAAAAAAAAAATACAAAAAAAAATTTGATGTATGTGACTGGATGTATCTGCAAACATTGTATGTATGATACTTTTGGAAGTTAATCATCCTTTAACAGTGGTTTAGCATTTTTGTCGGCGAAAGCGTTAACGTAAATGCACCAACATTTGATAATTATGGCTTCTCACACAATGACACCATCATTAGGCTATCTAAATTCTTCTACACAATCTTTTGGACAATCTTGAAGTGCATTTGGATGTACCTAGTGCAATCATATTCTTATTATTTTCGTTTATTTATTAATTAATTAACAATTAAGATCAGTGTAACTGATAGATTTGAGTAACAAGAATCAGTGATCGAGTCAGATGCGAGACGTATTTATTTATTAAGAATACTATGATATTATTGTTTTCGCTTGAATCATCCGGTTCAGAAGAATTAGTACTTTAATTCTAGCAATAAAGACCATAAATTAAAAAAGTTAAAAAACTTGTGTTTATTTATTTTTGTTTTTCCTAAAATCTAAACTAAGATCAAGTTCTTCAACAGCGGTTCTCGGTGACAAGACCTGTATGGTCTTCTTTGAGTATCCGCGTTCTTTATCTTAATTCTTTATTTTTTTGTAACGATTTTTTTTGCATGTAAATTTTTCTTATTATATATTTGTAAATATTGTATTAAATATTGTAATAAAGAACAAAAAAAAAAAAAAATAAAATAAAAAAATTATAATTAGGAATCTGAAATTTTGAATTTTTTTGAGCTGACTCAACATCACACCATGATTCTGTGAGACAAATCATGTAAAATAAAAAATTGGATTCTAAAAGAAAGTGTTTTAGTTTGTCTATATATAAACTTAAACTTCTAATATAAAGTTTATAATTATCTAATATATTATAATCATTCTAATATAAAGTTTATAAATCATCTGTCCACCAAGGAATTTTTCCTGATTGTCTAAAAATTGCAAAAGTTATTCCATTTTTAAAAGAAGGAGACTGTTGCA